ATAGAAACAATCTGCACCAGGATGTGTCAGCCATTGTCTTTTGACTACAGTTTCATTTGAAAGGGATTTTAGAAGCTGCGATCTTAATTAAATCTCAACTGACTCAAATAATGCATCAGAAGACATGCATGTTTGCGTAACTGCGTCGAGCTGGTAGACCATCGATCACGGGCGCGCAGCAGTTTACACCAACAGTGGCTGCAATCAGGGAAAAGTGAAAACGGTGAATGCTGGTGTGCAGGGTTGTAGTTGTCACTCTGAATTTGTACGCCAGGTTTCAGTGTGTTGTGAAATGTCAAGTTGGAGGTGTGGCTTCGAAGGTCAGAGAGACAAGACATTAGGTCTCATGTCAGAAATGCAATGAAGGGTGTGAATCTTTATTTGCCTGTTTGTTTGAGCTGGTTCTGAGCACGAATGGTTAAAAAATGATGACTTCTGATTTACTTTTAAAATGCATCAGTACTATTTCAGATTTTATTCCATTAATTAATTATTTTATTATTTTTCATTATTTTCTTCCAAGAAAATGTATTATTCATTTATTATTTTAGAGGAGTGAGTGAGTGAGTGAGTGAGTGAGTGTGTGTGTGTGTGTGTGTGTGTGTGTGTGTGTGTGTGTGTCACCTGCAGTGATGGCTGCCTCCAGTGGTGGGAAACAGTGTCCGGCGTTGCAGCTCAGCTGTTATTTTTGGGGTGAGAACTCGCTCACTTCGCAGTGCAGATTGTTTGTTTAAACCCGACAGCGGGACCAGCTCCGGCCAGAACCTGTTTGTTTGTAGTCGAAAAGTTAATTAAAATGCAATCTTGACTTTTGTTTTTACAGTTGCTGTAAATAATGTGCGCCTCAGCCCCCTCACACTCCTGCAACCAAATACAGAACGTATAGTGTGTGATTAAGGGAGACAAAATGTGGCTGCGTTTATCCTGTTTATCTGAGATGTAAACATTTTTAAAGGGGCTTGATTGTTGAGGACGAGGAAGGAATGATGGAGGGATGAGGAGTTCTGCCCAGCTTTTTAAAATAATTTAGGCTTACTTACAAATCTAATATATACCATATGCTACTTTGTACACATACTGTATACATTATAATAATATATAATATAATAATTTAATTTGCAAGATATTTGTATAATTGTTATTGTTTATTTATAAATTTTATCATTATTAATGGAAAGGTTCGTCAGTGTGAAGATTTTGAATTAATGTTTTTTTTTTAGTAAATGTTCTCCACCTAAGAGATTTCAATCAACCTGAGTAGGTAACATGGAATTAGTCTTTCCAGTCTTGTCGACGACTAATTATGTTCACACTTCACTTAAGTACAATAGCTCCCGTGAAATCCTCATTTTGCTGACATTTTCATGCAGCGGTTCACAGACAGGGTGGGAAGTCGTTTTTCATGCACCTCTGCAGACCAAGGTAAAACAACAGCATCAAATGGACCAGACTCTGTGATTTCTCTAGAGCTTGTTTTTTTTTTTTTTTACTTCTCCATTCCATTTGATGCCCCTGCAAAACAAGATGACCCCAGGGAGCACAAGTGAAAATTTGATAATTTTTTTTTTCTTTTTCTTCCTTTTTTTCTTTCCGACAAGCTGCACCTTTGCGGCCGGTGAAACATCTGTACTAGTCTCACAGATATTTACAACCTTGTCCCTCATTTCGGTTCGTCTTAACTGCCTTGGTGCGAGGAAAGGAGCCACCGTGCAGCTTTACTCTCCCCTGTTCCTTTTCAGAAGGCTTTGACCTCTTACATGGGAAGAGAGGGGGGGTGATTCGGGATTGCTTCAGTGAATCAGTGACTCTTTAAACGTGTGATCCATGTTGCTTCATTAGATTTTCATTTATTTGTGTTTTTTTTTTTTTTATCAAGTAGTGGTGTACAAACAGAATTTGACTTTCTGCAGGGCATCCTTTATGACAAATGCCTTCTATACTGCATGTGTGTGAATGTTGAAACTGTGCAGAGAATGATGATGTAGATGAAATTTGTGATTTTTATATTTTTTAATTCATTGTTGAAATGTTGAAAATTGAATTGAAATTGCCATATACATTTCGTACTAAATATACAGTGCCAGCAGAATTCAGTGTTCTGTATGGGAATATAGTTGTACTCCTCATACACAGTGTGTTATGGGTTGCACATGTACCTATATGTGCTTGTGACAATTAACAAACTACATGTATTGTGTGCTTGTGTGTGTTTGGCCAGCAGGCCTGTGCTGGTACAGTATATTGCCTCAAGTCACTCTGCAGCTGTGTTCCAGGTTTGAATGTTTATGCATGGGAGACACCTGGAGAGCACCACACCTTTGTGAAATTCATAAACATCAGCTATTTCTGGCATCCTCAGAATGTCCTCTTTTTTTAACACCCTCATTGGTAGAGCAGATTACAGCTGGGCTCAGTGGATCCCTCCAGTTATTAGCCCAGTGCGAGCCGTCTCTTTAGACTATCTTTAGATGGCGATATATTTTTGTGGATCATCTGGATTCATGATGTTATCTGAGAGATAAGGGAGTACACCATATGGGAGTGCTCTAAATGGCGACTGGCGTCCTGTGTTTGCGTTAAATGGGCACGATACAGCAGCCAGGGCAATATTTTTCAGTTAAAGTGCTCCCTCCCGCCTTTCCTCTCAATAGGACCCAGTCTTAGGCAGATTTTCACTCCTTCAGCACAGGATTAAATGGTGGTAGTTACATTGATCAATAGGTTAAGAAGCATACAATCCCTCTTACTGCTAATGACCTCAGTAGTAATGGGTAATAAAATGGGGGTCTGTAATAGCCTCTTACTGGGGCTGTGCACAGAGGAAGCTGCTCTAGCTGTAGTTACTGTGAGCCAGACGCTCAAGACAAGGCAAAGTGTGAAACCATGATGAGACACACACCTCAAGTTTAAAGAATTAAGATGCTGAAATAGAATAAAAATCTCAGTTTAATTTGTGATGAAATTGGCAGCTATTGTGAGCTGCTATAGTGTGTAAACCCTCTGTGTTAAGTTAAAGCTTGCATGTCAACATCACACTCTTGAATAATGTGGCATGACAAAATGATTATACATTTAGAAATATGACTAAATTTACAGCTTTAACATGGTAGTAAAAATAGAGCATGACAAATATGGAGTAGATTTTTAATGCTTGCGGTTAAAGTAAAGCTTCGAAAAAGGAGGGTGGCATTATTATTTACCCTTTGTGTGTGTGTGTGTGTGTGTGTGTGTGTGTGTGTGTGTGTGTGTGTGTGTGTGTGTGTGTGGTGGAGGGGGCCTCATATTTAGACAGGAACTATATATCATATTGTGCATAACGCTGGCATGTATGACACTTGCATGCAGCAATTCAGAGCAGAGAGTTGACCTTCAAAATAGTTAATCAAAATTAGCGATGCCCAGAAAAAAAGGACTTCAGTGGATAATGACTGTGAAATTAGGGAATGGGAGGCCGGGGCTATGCAAATGACAAGACAAGTCATGTGCAAAAGTCAAGATGAACTGCATATTAAGACATAATACAATGGGGAATTAATATTGCATTTTCTTCCTATATGCCTTGTGCTGTAAATGAGAAATGTGTGTGTTAGTCCTGGGTGGGGCTGGCTGTGCCTCCCTCATCCTCTCAGGGGCCAGAAGAACACAGCACAATATGGTCTGGCACTGTTCACAGTAAAGTTAACGGAGAGCATCAAAGCTGCTCCGTCCTATTTGACGTTGCTGCCCTTTCCTCTGCATTAGCAATACAAGCTGTTCATTATGGCAGCGCTTTGTTTTTGTTTTATGCTACAATGGGGAGAATGGATAAGGTAATATGCATGCAGGGTGTGTGTCAAGAAAAGCCCCTTAGTTACCGGACAAGGTTTTAAACAGCTAAATTACATTCAGAGGTGCATGAAAAATTCAAAGGGTTGTCATTAGCTATAAGGTGGCCACACAATTTGGGTAACCTTGGTGAAGACAGACTGTCATCGGCTATGTCTGCCATATCAACTGCTGACATCAGCCTTAGAGACAGAGAGCACATTTTAACACACGCTCAGGCACATACTGTACATACTAATGTATAGGTGCACGTACAATGAACCATTTCTAGACGTGTTAACAATTGCAAAGAGGCAGCACTATCGCGTACATCTTAGTTGCTGTTTGTCATACAAATGTCAAGGGAAGGAGCTTTTAATTGTCTTGCACATCATGGCGGTGAGTGGCAGCATCCAGACACACTCCGAGTCCCCTACGCCGCCGGAGCAATTAAGGCACCCTGACAACTGTGGGGGCTCTTTCAGTGTCACAACAAATCACTTGTTTTGAGGAGTCATGCACTCACACCTTTCTACTGGGAGTTAGTTAGTGGCCTGTGTGTTCTTCAACGTGGCTCCTCCTCCAGGCACTCCATATTTTAATAGATGGCTGTTGACAGCGTCTCCTAATGAAATGTTCTCACATGACATGACATGCATGTGCAACCAGCAGCACCTTTTAGAGGCTTTTCTTTCATGTCCAAATGCAGGTATGGCATCTTTGCCATGTTTATATGGTAAGCCCTCATAAGCATCTCAGCAGAAGCAGGTCATATCTGATGACGTTGAAAGGTTTTGTGTTTGTGTGAAGGGAAAGTCAGAGACTGGAGGTTGGGGTGGATACAGCTGGCTCTTTTCTTTTCCCCACTGTCCTTTGGCCCTCCTTATTCTGGTGTGGTGTCATAATGGTTAGAGGGGTCGATATGTGTGTGTTTGTTGGAGGGAATGTGTGACTCTTGAGATTAATATAGAATTCATTAAAATGCAAAGTGTGTATATATACATATCTTAAAATAATAATCATTGTTATAAGATAATTCATTTTTCAAATTTGTTAGAATTATTTATCCCTGGCATGGCATTAACCTTCACTTTTATCCATGTTAGCCCACTTGTGACTCTACACAAGAATAAGGATTCATCATTACTATATTTTGACTCTTGACATCTCTGTGCTCACTTTGTGTGTCTGTGCAGGTTCCAGTGTCAGTGGCTATGATGACACCTCAAGTGATAACTCCACAGCAAATGCAGCAAATCCTCCAGCAGCAAGTCCTGAGCCCTCAGCAGCTCCAGGTTCTTCTCCAGCAGCAGCAGGCCCTCATGTTACAGCAGGTACTGTACAACTGACGGTCGCATCATCTCAAATCGTTTTGTCAGAAAACTTATCACGTTTCAGATGGTTCTTCTCATGAACCCTTCAGCCGAAACATTAAAATCCGATCCTGTTTTTTTTTGTTGCGGCTGATCGGTGTATATTGTTTCACAAAAAATTATAAATTCACTTTGAAGTGCTCTTCGTTTTTTTCCCCTTAAGCCCCAAAAGATAGCATTCCTCAAAGTATTGAAAGTTCTCACTGCTTAGCTTTCTATGACTGACAGACTTTGCCTTACATGCTGCCATATTGTCTCTTCTGCAGCAGCAACTCCAAGAGTTCTACAAGAAGCAGCAGGAACAGCTCCACCTCCAGCTCCTACAGCAGCAGCATGCAGGCAGCAAGCAGAGTAAAGAGGTAGGCTGACATCACTCCAGCCGCCTGCCATTACCAAAGCCGTTGGCCAGACAGAATATGGGAGTCATGTGCACCCACCCCCTCCATCCCCTCCTAACTCCATCTGCTTCCAGACTGTGGTTAAAGCGGAGAGGAGGGGGGGGAATCAAGTGCACTCAAGCTTCTGATTAGCATGTCAGACTCGCTGGATAAATGGTAAAAACTGACTGATACTGTGCTAAGAATTCAGCGCCTCCTTTTCTGGAAGCGTGTAATAATTTACAGAGCCTGAGCCTTACTTCATTGTTCTAGATTTTTTTCTCGTTCTTCTTCCAAGTAAACAAGTGTCCTGTGCAACAAAGAGATGACCGCTCCTGTGAGCCTCGTGTAGGACATAATGAAAGGCAGAAGGGAGAAAGGCAGGAACACGGAGCATATAAATCTGAGAGGCTTTTCTCAGTAATTAACATGGAAATGGCAGAGGAAGAGAAGGCATGTAATTGTGAGATATCAGTGCAACGAGCGCTCTCAGCTTTGTTGCCTGTGTTGAGTTCTCTCTCTCTCTCTCTCTCTCTCTCTCTCTCTCTCTCTCTTTTTTCCCCTACATCTTTCTCGCTCTATCTCTCCTTTGCTCCCTCCAGTACAGTGGGGCTTGCTTTAGGCAGCAGCTTAATGCGTGTTAATAACTGGCGGATACAGGCATCGCTGTGGACAAAGCAAAATTATTATTGTGCGGTCAAAAGAAGTTCAAAGGCAATCTGGGAATTTTTTTGCTGTTGTCCCCATCGAGTTCCGTGTTTGGAGAGAAGGGTTAGCATAGAAAATTAAGCCCAGTGTTAAAAGCAGACACACACACACATCCACGCATCCCCACACTCACACACGTCCGCGTGCTGTCGAAGCTCCCAACTTCAAAGTCGTAGCTCTCTAATTAATGAACTGCGGGCTTCAGTTTGGACAAGTTGTGGCGTGATGCTCCCATAAATCAACATGACAGCAGAGCTCCTTGGCCTCAGATAGGGCCTGTCACCAACTCGCATCTGATGTAAACACTAGAGGAGCAAGGGGGGAGAAAAGAGGGGGAGGAGATGAGGTGGGGAGGGAGGTGCAATTGATCAGTTGAATGGGGCATGAGAATAAAAGAAAAGGCAACTTTTGAAGCATATTATGTATGATCACAGGAAATGGATGCAGCCTCGAGAGGCTCTCCCCCTCTCCGCCGATGTTTTCTTTCTCTCCCCATCGCTCTCTGTCTCTTTTTTTTTTCAGTCGCATTTCGAGCAGCCATCAAAAGACAGAATAAGAATTATGCAGTGACTCCCCTGTGGCTGCCAGACAATAACCCCCTGTTGTTGCTTTGTGCCTCTTTTATTTTAAAGACATCAAAATTTAGTTTTTCAAAGATCTTTAACTTTATATCTGAAGCTTGACAATAAAGGCCTGCCAGTGCCACTCTTTATCATTTGTCAGGGACTGTATTTTTCTCTCCCTCGTGCCACTTCTTGTTAACCTCTTATTTGGTCTATTGGGTCTGCCTTTTTAATGTCTCTGCATGCTGCGAGCGCACAGGAGCTGCTGTCAGCTGATGGGACCAGAAGAAACAAAATGTCAAGGGAGAACAGAGTTAGATTAATTTGCAATACTTGATTTTTCTTTCTTCCTTCTTTTTTCTACAAAGCCACCCTCTGTTTATTTTGCGTTTTGAAGAAAAAAAAGAAAAGACATTGTTGCTTGTGAACTCCCACCCCTGTAGTACTATTATCTTCATCTTAGGCTGTCAGGGAACAGAAAACCACTGAGGACACGAGAAAAGTCTGGGGGGGGGCGGGCAACAGCCTCACATAAATAGAATCACAGACCACCTGTATCCAAAATTTCACTGCTTCTACTTTTGGGTTACATCACAAATGAGCCTGTGAATTAATGTGTGCTTACTGCTCAATTATAACCGTCCGCAACTGTCAAATCACCCTCTTCCAATGAGATGACCCCGCTCACTGTTATAGACCTGCACTGCCCAGAGCTTTATTCCTGGAGCAGGAGACTGGGTGTGGGGCAGGAGGGAGGCAGAGGAAGGGAGAGGAAGGCCGTCAGACCCTTTTTGACAAGGCGATTGTGGGTGGGCGGAGGGGGGGGCGCAGTTTATCTGGCTGTTCCAGTGGTTTCAGAGCTTCTTGCAAGTGACCTAACAGCCGCCTTGTACCGAGACCTTTTTTGTGTGCGCTCAATTGTGAGAAGTAAACAAAAGTGGTGTATCCTGTGTTTGGTAACAGGGTGCGGTGCACAGCTTGGCAGCCCCGGTACTGCTTTTAGTGCCCCCTCCTCTCTTCCCACCCGCTTGACAACTGGCCTTGTATACTCATAAACAGGCACAGCATCCTGTTGAGTCTTAGGCATGCATATTTTATCCATATCTGTTGGAAATATGGAAGGTGCCCTGATTGTGACATCTCCGTGAGTTGGCTGTGGATTTGTTGAGAGCAAAGGTTGATGAAGAGGTAAAAAGTCATCCCTCTCCTCTGTGCCCCCATTATCTAAATAGCATCGCTCATTTGTTTTGACTCATATGAGATTGGGGATATTAGATCATTTCCTTCTATTTATTATTCTGACTCTCAAGTCCTCTTCTCACTTCCATTTTCTTTCTGCACTCTCATATCACTTTGTCATCACATCAGAGTTCACACGTTTCACTTTTCAGAGCCAAACTCCCAACTCCCTCCAAACACCCCCACAAATCAGTACAGCTACACTGGCATTTCATTAAATCTGTCTCGATGAAACAGCTGTAGCTCAGTTAGACCAACAGAGCGACTATCTCGCCGTCAGTCCACAGTGTGTGATTGAACACAGCTTGCGGTGCTGGTTTGGGGAAAGAGTGTATCCCCGAGCTCAGCGCCATGCCTGGGAGAGTTGCGAGAGTTGCCAGGGTGGTTATTAAGCACTTTGATTTAGTCACACGTTGTTTGCTGAATTATGAATGGCTGTAATTAAATTCCTGTGGCTCTTATTATGAATGATTAACTATGTTGTTTCGTTGTTTGTCATTTACCTCCCGACTCGTCATTAATTAAGAGAAAGAGAGTTGTATAGTCTACCTGTCTTAAGTAGGTGCAGGCAAAGCCACACTAGAGGCAAAATTTATGAAACTTACACCAGGGTATTTTGTGTGTTAGCACACGTAAAATCCAGTAAAACTGTTGTATGAATGAACATGTCGTTCTAAAGTGTTTATTTTTACAACTTGAACCGTGAACTTCAGAGCTTTGAGCTTCAAATGTTTTTTTCTGTCAGCAGCCTACATGAATCCAGTTATATGCAAACCTGCAACTGATCTTTACATGTTTGCTCTGGCTGTTATGCTTCTATATACTGTTTGTATATTAGCGGATGGTGTGTCCTTGTTTTTAATGTACGTGTGTGTGTGTGTTTGTGCCACCAGCAGCAGGTGTCAGCGCAGCAGTTGGCCTTCCAGCAGCAGCTCCTGCAGGTCCAGCAGGTCCAGCAGCAGCATCTACTCAACCTTCAGAGGCAGGGTCTGCTCACGATCCAGCCCGGACAGACCGGCCTGCCACTGCACTCCCTCACTCAGGGTCAGTACCTAATCTCACAGCACTCTCCTCAACCACCAGACTATACAACACTTAAAGATATCAAGTCCACCAGTCCACTGATGCTCAGTGGAAGAATTTGGTCATAAAGAAACACTATAACTCAGTGCCTGGGGACACCTCTTTTTACTCCAGTATTTTCACAAGTGTTTAAGTTTGTTTGTGGAAGTCAACTGATGTTTTGCTGCGATATTGAGAAAATAGTTGAGTCGAGGCCATGAGACAAAAGCCATGGAGACTGGGGGTGTACTGATAAGGTTGTTTATTGCTATATTGGATGATCCTGGCATTGTATATGAAAAGCCAGTTGAATTCCTTCATCTGTTATTATAGTAGATCTTCCCTCCTGATCACAACTATTTTGTGATTTCAGAATAAGAAAAATGGGAGTCACGCAATCATAATTTTACAGGCCTTTTACGCACTATCAACACTAATACAGATATTTTTGTTTGGGTCCACAATCAGAAGTGTTTTATGTCACTAAATATGGTGGTTAACAAACACCCAATATGAAGATTTTCCAAAACTGTGTATCCATGTGTACAAGGAGAATTTGGGGAACAATGAAGTCATAGCATACTTTGCGCATGCCCTCCATTGCTTTGTGTAATGACCCTGCCCCAGAAACAACAGCAGCATTGGCAGCTTTATACCGGTTTCTCTATGTTTGGTTAGCACATACTAGGTAAGTATGCAGCTAAATTTAGCATTAGGCCTTTGTTTCAACGTATATTCAGATGGTTTGATTTGCCACTGTTGTAGCCCTGCTACAATACCTGTACAAATTTGCTTAGTCAAAGTGAACAATGCATCACTTAAGTATGTACCACATACTGTACATGGTTTCACTGAGTCAGGACACACCTAAAGTAAATCCTCACTCAACACCTCTATAGTTTACTAAATGGCATCTTCTCTTGTCTGGGAAAGTCTACTGTTTACTGAACCATTGTTGTTTGATTCTGGCAGGTTTTATTTGGTTTATTATCATCACAGACAGTTTTCTTTTCCTCCTCACTTTGTTCTTCAAGTCTGTCCTGTTTCTGAGATTGGCATCCTGGTCACAAGCTCCTTGAGCCTGGAGGAAGACAGCATCTATTGTTCTAAAACTGCCAGTGAACTTGTCGTAGTGAAATTGCCTGTTACTCGATCGGTGGAGTCAATAGCAGTTTGACCAGGAAGTTTATTTCTTTATTTATTCTTTAATATTTTGTCAAGGAGTGGTCCCCTCATGACAAAGATGCCGTCATAAGGGATTTAGTACATGACATTGACTATTCATTCCCAGCTAAGACAAACAGTTTTGAAAAAACAAGATAAGGGCAATAAAAACGGGAGGGTTTGGGGGGGTGCTTAGGTAATAGGCAAACACAAACACGGTTTGTACAGTGGTGTTATTGTTTGGACTGGGTATGGAATCACTCATCCGCTCGCAGATGATTGCCATGGGCACAGGCGTGGAGCACCGCTGTGTTGTGAATGTGCTTTACTGAATTGCTGTGTGTCAGATGTCTGGCAAACACACACACCCCTTAAGTAAAGCATTATATGGGTGTTATGGCTATGTATTGTAGTTTTGATGGATTTCACAACAGCACCAGAACATCCTGTTTATGCACTCATCATCACGTTCTTCCCCGGCAACTTAACTTATTAAGAGAGGTGTTGTATTTAAGTAATATCATTTTTTACCTAATGATTTTTTTGGATACACTTTTACACTTTGTTAGGGCGGCACAGTTTATTCTATCAAAACTGTGAGTTAGATTATTTGGATTAATATAGAGCTCTGATGCATCACATCACATGCTCAGTTTCCCCTTAAGCTGTTACAAAAAAATATAAAATAAAATATACACCACCTAATAAGATACCACAGTGAAACTTTAGAGGAAATAGTTTTAGACTGAAAAATGTATTCCCAAAAGAATTATGACAGAAAATCTTACTTTTAATTTTGAGGGAATTTTTCACCCTTAAAATGATTTGTATGTGAAACTGACAGCATCGTTGAGGTGTTTTTTACAGTAAACATCACAATGAGGAAATGGATCTCCCCAGATACAATTGGCTGATTGTTTCACTTTGCAACAACCAGTCAAACCTGGTTCAGTTGCTCTCACAATCCATTGATGATTAACACTGTGCCTCTGACAGCTGTTACAACACTTAGGCCAGTGCTCCAGGCCCCCAGTTAGTCTTTCTATTCTACATATTTTCTGCTTGACTGTTTGAAGTTATTGATGACCTTTCTGTTTTCCACATCACTAACCTCTTTCATGCATCAGTGGGCCAGGCCTGTGCTGCTCAGATCTAATCTGCAATATTCAGTTAACAGTTAGCACTGCGTCGGAAGTGATGAGTTGATCTGCTCTGTTTGGGTCTCAGCGATTACAGATTCAAACTTGGGGGCAGTAAATTGGCCAGGCTTTTTCCTTTTTTTTTAACCGATGATTTTATATGTTTCATTTCATGTAGATAACAATATAATTATTTTTGAAAGGCCACATGAAATCCACTGTATCAATTTTCCATGTGTAAAGACAACAAAGGGGACAAAGGTTTTCAAAATAATAGGACACTGTAACAGTGTAAGGAATGGAAAGTAGGCGTGCAGTCTGTATTTGCAGTTTTGCTGCTAAGATGCACTTAAGAACTGATTTTTCTTTCAGTTTCCTGCTTTGTTAAATTGTTGCCTGAGACCGATTTGTCACTTATTGTCAAAGCGATGGACTGGAGGAATGTGTGTAAATTAGCCTTTCAAAAATGTGATAGCACTAATTAAGTATAAACTTGTAGATAGCAGTTTTGAGTGAAAAACAATTGTCACATTATCTGGAACGTAATTTGTTTCTCTTGTCGTAAATTCTTTTGACATTAATGTTCAAAGTCTTGGAAGCGGCCAGACGGTATCTGTTATAAATTACAACAATGTGTTTGGGAAGGATACACCCCCTCCCACAAAAAGCCTGTCCTCTTGACCTGATAAGTGAGTCAGTGGTAGCTCAGGCTCACGTTGCTCAGGTGTGTGTCTGTGTCACATAGGTGGACAGTGTTTGTGCACATCCCGGATAAAATGGCCCCCCTCACCCTCCGAGGTTGCGCTGCACGAGAGCGAGTTCTTGTATCCGCACAACATCATTTAAGCTGTCCAGGAACTGCCTGGGGGACAGTGACAAGACAAATTTGTCGGTAATATGAAAGCAAAGAATGTGGCGAGCCATGAAGTGCTCACAGAACAGCAGCACATCAGGGACAGCGGTGGGTAATGCCGCTGACCTGTCAGTGATTGATATGTCCAGCGGTGGGCTACTGGTAATAGTTCCTGCAGCATTAGGACAGGACATATTTCAGGCCTAAGGGGTGCATATCAGCAGGCCAGTGATTACGGTAACATAAACAGGGGTGCAGTAAAGGTCCCAGTCTGATGGAACAATAAACTAATAGCGATGTCACTGTCCCCCCATGGTACCGGCACTGTGTGTGAGAAGTAACAGCTCGGTTTAAAGAGCCCGGAGCACTGGGGGCCATTTTTTATTTGGGGGATGATGGCCTGCAACTGATGTCATTATGAACCTTAAATCAACTTTCTGCTTGCTTGAACATGGTCACCTGGGTACAGGGGGACAAGGACAGGAAAAGGTTGAAGAGCTCGGCCTGTCTCGGTGCCAGAGCTACCTGCGGAGGTAAAATTGAGTTGAGAGGCCGGTGATCAATCAAGTGTCCCAACAACATACATTTTTTAAAGTGCTTGTCCGTATTTCCCCGTCGTAATGAGTAGAATAGTTGTGCTGAAAAATGGAAAGAGGAAAGATAAACCAATCTGGCATTTAAAGGATGGACAAACTGGGGACCCAAGAAAGAGGATTTACAGATCAATGTCATTACGTTTCCCACAGTAATCAGATGGAGGGAAGCTCAATGCGTTTTGTCAAAACACAAAAAATAATACCTGCTGAGACGTTCATGTAATGGTGTTTCATTGTCATTTATGTGAATCATGAGCCTCAGCTGTTGTTGGAAGAGGTTAGGGTTGGACCCGAGAAGAACAAGGGAAGAGGCAAACAGAGGGCAATAAAACTATGGACTAGATCCAGAAAGAGACAGCTTGGTCCCACTCCGTTACCTCTCTCATCAGTGCGGTCTATCCGCTGCGGTTTCATCTGAGTAAACAGTGGTGTCGGGGTCACCAGGACTGCTGGGTAATTGAGCCAGTGCGGGCCGCCCTGTCAAGCACATCGGCTAAAAATACATCGCCCACTGTCATCGGGCACCAAGTGGGGGGAAAATGATTGGTCCCGCTGTCGGAGCGCAGGACACTCGCATCACCAGTGACCTTCCCCTTCCAAACCCACCATCATAGGAAAAGAAAAAGAAACAACAATAAAAATAACTTTTGCTCCAAAGTCTCCAAAGCACGCCATCAAAAACAACAATGGAGCCTTTTGATAATGTGCCTCCACAAATCGGCAAGTGTTGGATTAGCATGCTGTAACACAAACCTCAATATTAAGCATGTTTAGCCTGTCATGGACGTGCACTTTGATTAGGGCACATCAAGGCATTGAGGAGAATAAGGGAGAATACAGGCAGGCAGAATAGAGCAAGTGTGTTGAAATATCTGAATGAGGAAAGACGCTCCTTGGAACGTGGAAAGGTTATTGATTTGTCCTGCAATCATTTCCTGCTCTTTGATATGCAAACGATCTAGTGTGAATTTACAGCAATCCTATCAGACTCATTTCACAGTTCTTAGCCCCTGCGTCTCTCTGGAGTCCTCCGCCTCATTAGGCCAATGTTCTCCATTACCAGCATAATTAAAATCTTTAGTAGCTTATCAAATTAAAAATATTTTTGCTGATCGTATTGAGATCTTCACCTCATAGTTATTTTCCACAACAGGAATAAATTAAGACTAAGCATTTTGCACACAATGTATTACAATCTGGTGCTTGAAAGGAGCACTTCTGGTATCTATGGAGCTGGTGATGAGAAACGGGGAGGCGGGGAGGGGGATCCAGAGAATATAAACCCGAGCAGATAAGCATGTGCAAATCATCTTTCATTTACCAGTGCTCATTTTGAGTATGGATTTAATTAATTGTAATGTTAAACGAGTGGTCTTTGCCCGTTTGTTCTGTGGTTAAATTCAACACATATCCGAGGGCCTCTTTCACCACGCTTAAAACATGTGGCTTATTTTAGCGTATATCTGCATACTTGATACAAATCCGCACATATTTTATATCTCGCAGTATCCCAACAGAGGTAGCCAGCAGATGTGTTCTGTTTTGCCTGGAAATACAAATCGCTACAGATTCTGCACCCAAGAGGCTTAATCTTATTTTACATACGGTACCAGCTTTATCCTCATTTGTGTCAAGTGAAACAGACCTGTCCTGCACAGACACACCATAGATGGACACATATACTGTACATTGTGTGCCAACAAAGGCTCTCCTCTCTCAGACATGGAAAATGGGGTGCACAAAACGCAGCATTATCCGTCTCCGTCCTGACTCTGGCCCTGGGTGTCCGGATCACTGTCACTCATAGGCAGAAAAAACACACACACTCTACAGACGTGTTTCCAGCATATGGAAAAATGTATTCTGTCTTCAAGGGATTTTTTTCAAAGGGCTGTGTGAGCTGCAGTGTGCTTGACTTGTTAAATGAGGTTTAAGTCTTCTGTGTCAATTGGAGGCGGTGCAGAGCTTTAAGTATTTTGCACATTAATGCGCTTTTGAGAATATTACCCCAGGGTCCTGTTTCTAAAGGAGGCAGGGGTGGGATGTTTTCTAGTGTTGCTATTGTAAACTTTTTGTTGTGTGTGTTCTGCTCATCTCTCTTGTTGAGAGAAAATGATGGTGATTATTCAGATTTCATGCCTTGTCTGGATGTTAATTATTTACTCTGGGCATGAAATTTGCGTGAATGCCAGGGATTTGTGTATACAAACACGCTTCAGATCCCAGGGAAAATGGGAGGAAGAGAAGGAGGTGGCAGGGAGAGGAGGAGGAAGGCGAGAGCTCTCAGTGCATTACCCTGTAGTGGAATATTTTCTAATTAATACTCAGCTTTGTTTACAGACGCTTTGATTTAATTAAGTGATGACGAAGAGAGTTGGATTAGCTGTTAATTGATTTAATTATCCAATTTGTTTGTCTCAGGCATGATTCCAGCTGAGCTGCAGCAACTGTGGAAGGAGGTGACGAACGCTCATGTGAAGGAGGAGCACAACATCAGCAGCAACAACGGCCACCGGGGCCTTGACCTGTCCTCCCCGGCACCGCCAAAGAACCCACTTCTCAACCAGCATGCCTCCACCAACGGGCAGTATATGAGTCACAAGAGAGAAGGGTGAGTCAGCAGGTTCTTTTATCATTGATTTTTGTGCTTTCTTTCTTGTATTTGTGTGTTTCTTACATCTGTTGCATGCTCTCACAATCCAAACATGAGCCATTCAAGACATGCAAGTTCAAAATTATAACAGCTAACACCTTTGTACAACAAACGTTTGCCAAAGCACCTGATCATTAAATCATTTGTAAAATACATGTCATATTTAAACAGAAGAAAAATAACTTCTCTGTCATCTTTGTTTAAAGCAAACAAAGGGCCAACACAGTAACTTTTCATGTAGCTGGGGAATTCAGAGGAACACCTGGAAGGAAAGCTGGGATTTGGAATAATGTGTATCGAAATGGGATCGCCGTGCACTTCACGTGGGGGTCAGGGCGATGACCTCTCTCTTGCTATTGTTTTAGTCGAAGTGCAGCTGTGACCGAAGTTGCATTTCCTTGAGAACATTTGGATCATCTGTGTTTCTTCAGAGAAAGAAAAACATCCCTTTGTGTTCTGGGAACTTGTTGACATGCATAATCCACCTGTCAAGATCAACAAGTTATAATGCCCCACAGAAAAAAACACTGGGTGTATCATACTTTCAATGTGAATCATTTTTGTGTGGTGTTTGCTCTCTGAGCTATGTATGTGTGTGTGCTCCTTTAAGGAAGGAATTAATTTGGCATCTTAAACATTTGCTTGTTTTCTTGCACCAAAGCCTGATCTTTGAACTGCAAGTGAGGAGCCTCCAGGCACCATGAGCTCACTGCATAACATCTGACTTGTGTTCCAGTGATCAAAACCTGCACGTCATTATGAAAGCAACGCAGATGAGAACATGTTTAGCACAGTAAACCAGCGGTTTGTAGGTGAAGAGGGGCTGGTAGAGAGGATCTGAGCGACACCGAGAGGAAATGCTCTGATCCAGTGATTGATAGAGAAACAAATGAAAAGCAGCTATTTCTTTTCAAGTAGAATTGTCAGATTGAAATGGATTGATGACATACTACCTGTGCAGACGTATCCTCCTTTACAGGGCTTCGGCGTTGCCTTCCAGCACACACAGTGGAGAGAAATAAAAAAACTGGGCGTTAGTTGCTCCCACAGTTGACAGTATCCTTCAGCTTGCACTTCTTCATCCAGCATGTGGCTCAAAGTTAGGGTTTTTTGCGTGGCTGAAGACAAATTGCAGGGGAGGATATTGACTCGCTCACTCCATCACACATTGTCGCAAGCAAGCAAACAAGGTGAGCGTCGACAGAAGTGAAAAAGGCGAGAACCAGCCTCAGCTGAGGGCTCCATGAAACATCGGAGAAGACATAACACAAGAGCTGGCAGCCCCTCTGCCTCGTGCTGACTGTCAGAGATTAAAGAGGATGTCAACAGCAGTTTAACACAAGCTTAAGTGAGGAAGGCAGTCTCTGTCTGAATATTCGCACTGTATCTTAGATCTGTCAGAAAAACCGAGCAGGTGATTCTCATCCATCCCATCTGCTACAAGAAGTCATGGATTAGCTACGCGCAGTTTCAACTGTGCAATTACTAAGACCAGATGACTGATACAAAACGAGCACAAACATTCTTTATTAAATGCTGAATGTAACACATTTTGATTCACACAACCAATAATCCTTCCTCATGATCATTTTTTGGGACTTTTAAATTGCACAACTATCAAGAGCATTATTCCTCTCTTTTGAAGATGCAGACTCAATTTTAATCAGACTCCATGGGAAGAAGAATGAAATATTATTAAGTATGATTATTCTAAGCAAGGCTCTGAGAAAACGTCTGTGTTATAATCCAGGGATTTGAATAATCAGGTTGAAGATAATGGGCTGGGCCGGCCCGGGCGTAAATAGAGAGCATCCACTCATCCTCCCAGCGCTGAACTTAATGAACTTTTAATTGATGCGGTTTTGCAAGTCCTTTTGTCATGCAACAGAAACAAGCCTCTCTGCTGATGGGCCTGTTTTCCCGACTGGCTTCAGATTGGTTTACAGCAGGCCCTAAGTACCATGTAGTTAGTTTCATGTGTCATATAAAATCTGCCCAGGCACAACGACGCCTGCAACTAAAACCTTAAGTGCATCCACAGGAATCACTCACCGGCTTTGCACTTCCGTCTTAAGGAAGGAGGAGAAATTCAATCACTGCCGGCTTGACACACCGAAGACGAGGCGTGCGTTCCTGCTTTTAGTTGTCTCAGAGAACACTCTGGCAAGGCAGGCTGGGATTTCTGTTTGTCTGAATATCATCCCTGATATGACCAGGGCCTGAGTCACTCAATCTGTCAGCGCGTTGTTGTTTCCCAGCCCATGAAACTGTGATGCAGATAGAGATATACCCCTGTGAGCCAGGTCATCTTTATTCAATGATTTGCTTATTTAAATGAAATGTGCCTGATCTGTATCTGACACAAATTCCCAATGCAGTGCTGCATCAGCTTTGTAAGGGGGAGCATCCTCACAAAGCACTTGGCCCACTTTACTTCCCAACAACCATCAGTAACCACAGCTCGGGGACTGTAACGCAGCAATCTGTTAAAGAGATAAATAATCAGATTTGGCACAGCTCTCCCATCTCTCTCTAGCCTTTAATTTGTCTTACACCAGAAAAAAATGATAATTAAATCATTTAGGGTAAGGCGTGCAGTGGCACAGAGACGGCGTTAGGAATGGATGAAGTATAGAGAGTTAAAAAGGGGAGGGGAGTGGGTATGGACGGAGGATGGAGGGGGGAGGACACAAGGGAATAGGCTAAAATCAGTATCAACGATGAGGGAGAGTGTTGTGACTGGTTTCACACACGGTGGCCAGACTCTGACCTAGCACGGCGGACATCAATCTTCCCACTTTTTGCTGATAGATTGAGTCCATCAGCGCACAATGCCATAGATCATGACTTGTTTATGGCCCAAAGCATCTCATCAAAAGAAGTGAACTAGAAAACAACTGGATACCAGCTGTCGGAGCCATCTCTGTGTCTGTCTACACATAAACACAGAGCAACACCTGAGAGGTTTGCACGTTTCCAGTTCGGCTCTATAGGCACTTTAATGTTCTTTCTCTTCTGAAGGAAGCTGATGACACGGTTTTTCCTCATCGCTGTTACAAGATCATTAGACTGTTCTTCCCGCGGGCTGCCTGACAATAATAACATCCTGACAGACCTGTCGTGGGTGCAAGTCAAATTTAACACTGTGCAGTGCAGGGAGCTGCAGTGCATTTTTTTTGTCTCCTGAACATATTCTCAAATAGAAGAAAGCCCCAATGAATCCTACACCCTTCTCCTATTTCACTAATGTAGCTCATTTGGTGTAAATTCTGTCATTTACCACTGTTTAGCCATCTACCGTTTAAAAGGGCTCTTCTGCCGCCAGCCCCTCACTGCGCTTAGTGCTCACTGATTCCCAGCCCACTCCACATTTCAGTATCTTATTAATACAGAATTAACCAACAAGCCTGCTCGCAAAGAATTAAAAAAGGATCTCTTTAAATTAAAAACTGGCGTTACCTTCAACAGTCCACACATTTCCTTGTTAAAAACTCATTATTATAGGTCTTCCGCCATCTATTTATTAGCAGTATCAAAACAGAGGTCTTAATGTGAATGCATAATTCATAATTGAATTTAAAAAAAATCTGACTTTTAAAAGAGGGAGAAAAAAAGAGCTGCCAACCACATTCATGAATGCTTGACTGCTTCCTAATTGCAGTGCAATTATCACATGTTATGAACAATGTGAACTCTTAAGCAAATAATTATAACACAAGGAAACCTGTGACGACCTTTAAAATTTCCTACTTGAGGTAAAGCTTTACTAACATTGATACAAATGAGATTTTAATCTGAACATCAGTTTGCTTAATCCTGCAAAATTGGCACGGCACGTTTAGATCACTTTCCTTATTTTTCACTTGTTCGCTTTACATTTTCAAACCCTGGCAGATGAATGATTGTCTAAGCAATGCAAGTTGGTTATCTGCAGTATTTATTTTTCCTCTGTAGTATTAGTATAAGACATGATCTCTTATTGTTTCTATGTATATGAATGAGATTTTAGTGGCTGGAGTTACTCCCACATGACAACACTAACAGTTTGCGGTGTAATGAATCTCCCTGTTCAGCCCGCTGTCTTAAAGAGCATGGCTCAGACTGGAGGAGAAGCAGCAGCACTGTGCTCACGAGCCACCAGAAGCACAGGTGGTAGCGATATAGGCCAGTCCCCCAGGCTCTTGTAGCTCAAAGTTGTGTGTCTTGTATAGTGCCTGTGTCCATATGGCTGCCTGTCTCGCTCTCTTAGCAGACACTGCCTCCACACAGAACCCTCTCTCGCTCTCTCAGCGCTGATTGTGGTTAGCTGTGGTTGCTCGCCTCTCGCCATATGGAAGATGTTGTAAAGTTTGTTTTTCAGCGACGTTCCCGCTATTTAGACTGATTGTACGAAGCCAGACGCTCCCGGTAGATGCATGCTCGTCAGCCCCCGGTGACACGGATTGGTCAGTAGATAAATTGATACCAGGCGGGGGGTGTTTATGGTTTGCACACAGTGTGAAAGTGGCTGGTGCTTTTGGGAGTCTCATGTTGTGCTTCATGCTGCTCCAGGTGGGCTGCGGGACATGATGCATTGGGCAGCAGCGCAGGAACAGAAGCGACTGAGGGAGCCCCCTTGCAGTCTTGATCAAAGAGAGTTGCAACATGGTTGAGCAATACTAAATAATTACATATTGATTTGGTTGTGCTTTCACAGCATGGGTCTGCTCCTTAAGAGAAGAGCAAGCAGAGAGCACACAGGTACACTGATTCCACACTGGCCGAGGCTCATAGATCAAGTCAAAGTGGAAACAACATAGAGTACACACCCCTTGCCGTGATATGTTACCTCAGGGCCTTAAGTGTGTTTGTGTTCAATAAAGTTGTGATCTTTTTTATTGATAAATGTCTCTTTTCTCTTCCAGAACTACGTTAGAGGAGCCTTCCCACCACAGTCACCCTCTCTACGGTCACGGTGTTTGCAAGTGGCCTGGATGTGAGGCAGTGTTTGACGATTTCCACTCATTTCTCAAGTAAGTTAAAGTCGTAGTCAGAGGTGTGTTTCCATCGCAGTTTTGCGTGTCCTCGTGTTTAGGTCGATTACAGCAACTCAGACGCACTACAGGTGCAGCTGGTTGTTATTGCAGAGTGTCAGTGCCTGGGTCGGCCCTCTCTCGACAAGGGTACTGACTGGGGTGGGGTCTCCTTCTGAGAACGGCATGGGCCTCTAATTCCTGTGATAAGTGCAGTTCCCATGGTGACGGGAGCCATTTTTCCCAAACAAACAACCGTAGGATGTTTATCTGTGGCAGCCCACTCTTTGGGCTCTCTGCATGTTTGCCCTTGTCACTGTACAGGAGGATTGGTGGATGTGTGTGTGTGTGTGTGTGCGCTCAGCTCTTACTGGTCCTCTATTTGTTTTTTTCTCCTCCTTTTGTCATCCTTTACTTCCTTGACTTGTATGTGTACTTGGAGATCTCAAGCTTCATTAGCAGCACCTGCTGTGTTGCATTTCTCCGGTGTGAACAGTGTAACAGGTTTGACTCGGTCCAGTCTGACACTTGCCCTTTGTTTTGCACCATGACTCCCAGACTGAGTCAGACCCCTGGTTTACTAATCAAGCCGGTGTGCAGTGCGCTCTAGGTAATCCAGCACATAACAGCGCCATGGTTACGTTGAGGATGAAAACATCTGCCTCGTGGCAGCAGATCAATGGCTCACTGTCACCCCAGATTAGTCGCACTTTAAACAAGATATGACACAATTCCATTATCCCAAAACAAGCACTCAGCGAACTCACAGCGTTCTCACAGACGCAGGAGAGAAAGGTGCTGCCGAGGGCTGCTGAAACTGTCTTTGTCGACATTTTGAACCCTCTTTTGATCGTTTATATAAATCCACTGTGAGCACATTTTGCATTTGAAAAATGCATCACAGTAGATTGTACAGCACGTTTCTGTTCCAGATGAAAAAGAGGCAGTTACTTATTTTACGTTTAATTTAATAAACATCCTGAGACACTGAGTTATTATACACACACTTTCACACACATTTCAGCTTTGGGAGTGACCTCTTAAATCCATCACTATTTATTGTATTCTGACATTGCCTCACCCTTTGTTTATAGAAGAGAGGGGAATTAAATTCAGTGCGCCTGGTAGAGCTTTGTCTGAAAAAGTCTCCAAGTGCACTCTGCTCTGTTTTTACAAGTGTTTTTATCATGGCAACATCTTGTTTACTTTAGTTGCCTGCTCAAACTGCTTGGAACATGTTAAGAAAACATTTGGGGAGAGTCTCCACAAAGCTGCCTTTGTTTAGCGGCAGACGAGAGTGCGAGCAGCTCACCAAGGTGTTAACTCTCAAACCCTTAAGCACTTCCACATGAAACCCAGCAACTGATACTGCAGGCCCCCGAAAAGAATCAAAAATAAAAACAAAGAATACATCAAGCGTTGTAATGCTCAACTAAAGTCTCCCAAAAGGTCCGGAGAAATGTTGGAAATGAATAAGGAGAAGTGTGTGTGTGTGTGTGTGTGTGTGTGTGTGTGTGTGTGTGAGTGTGAGTGTGAGTGTGCAGTCAGCAGAACAGAGTGTACTGTGTACTAGAGAGAAAGAAAGGTGAGGAGGACGCTAACGTCAACCAGATTTCGGCTCCACATGCCAACAGTAACAACTAACACGGGCCTGAAATGTTGTTTTAAACTGTGTGTGTATTTATTCTATCTTTTAAGGAAAACATTACATACCTACATGCACTATCTTGGTAAATACAAAGCGCCTAATCACAGTTCCTGTTTTCGGGCTCAGCGTACAGAAGGGTGTGGTGGGGTTCACAGCAGAGTCTGGTGTTTTTATGGGGGTCAAGACCCTTCTCTTCAGTGTCCAGTCAGAGGTCAGACCCAGTGAAACACTGCAGTGCCCTCTAGTGCTGCACTGTCTGTCTGCTGAAACCACAGAGACTCTCACACCTCCACACAATGTAGGTATTGTTCTGTGAGTTATGCAGCCATGGACCCCTGCGAACCATGTAGACCTCTAAAATAAACCAAATATAAAATCATGTAAAATAAAAAATAGTGAATAAAAAAAATACATAGTACATTTAAAAATAAAAAAAAGGCTTTTTTAGACTTAAAATTTTGAATACATTCTAAATGTAAATACTACTGTAAAGATGTGTGCGTTTAATTTAAAATTCCACCCAGGAGTGAAGAAGATAAACCTTCCTCAGAGACAGCCTTAAGCTCTGTGTCCAGTCCATATAATTAGAAATTGTAAAGAAGGAAAAAAAGACGCCAGGCAAACCAACTGATATGTAAAAAACAGACTGTTTCAGGAATGTCTTTTTAACTTGTTTTATTGTGGCAATTTACATTAGGGACTGTCATTCTGCCAGAGAGGTTTTAAAAGTGGCTTCATTTGAAGTCCAGAAAGTGACACATGCCAACGTTCATAGTCTCTCTCGATGTCAATTCCCCCGTATCCCCTGCTCTCGTGTCCAGACACTCCTCTCAAGGCTGCATTAGGGCCATTTGAATATTTCATTTCCTATTAATTATGCACTGTGACTCTCCATGTCATTAGAAGAAATAAAGTGGAATGTAACAAAGGATGAAAAGAAGCAGGGCACATGTCTCCTATGAACAGAGAAATTCCAAAGCTGCTCACGTAGGCCACCCTTCATTGAAAATTCAGTCTTTGCCAGTTAAATTGAAGCTGAAACGTCTTTACCTATTATTTTCTTCTTTGAAATTTAGTAAGATGTCCTGAAATGTTTACCTGTTTCATTTTCCCGGCTACTTAATTAAATGGGCATTTATTTGACTCAAGCAAATGGAAAGCCCAAAGAAGTCTGAATTGATTTCAGTGAAAAAAAGGGGGTTATTGCCCACGCCTGCTTTAAATATGCCTTTTTAATTTCTTTTTCGCTACAATAATTAACATCAAGGGGCTGAATGTATATCGCAGTCATTTTGAAAAATGTGTTATCGAGACACAAAAGGAAGACCTGAAGGGGGGAAGAGACGACGGTTCCCATAAAGATTTAAATCATTCACCTCAAGGTTGAAACTGCCGCAGCTGAAGAGAAACTTTCACATTTCCAGCCGAGCGCCATCAATTTTCCCTTCCTTTCACGTGTGTCTGTTTTCTGAGGTTGTGTGTGGTGTTTCACGCACAAATGTGTTGTCTGTACATAAAGAAATGGCATCAAATTTATTGGGCTATCATAACACCAGCGCTGCCACCGTGCCTTCACAGGCCGACTCTGGCTATTTTTGATTTGCAGTAAATGACAGAAAAAGTGCATTTGAAAAGGCAGACGCGTAACACACCTCTTCCCCATCTGCCGGCGCCAGCCTGGTGACAGTGACCTACATGGTCACCAAAGATGTGATATAATTTATGATATATATAATATATTGGATCCATTAGCGAGCATAATGAAGTAGTGAAATGAAAGGGTATTTGTGAAATCAGTTCAAACATCCTGCTCGGATTATGATTAAATGATTAATGAAATGCCCCTGCATAAGCATTTTCAAACAGTAATTCATGCGGCAACTGATAAAATTCCCCCAATCATATTTCCTTCACTTGTGAACCTTATCTCCACCATTTTATATAAATCACAGGGAAAAAAAGAACCTGTCTGCGGCCCGGCAAGCTACTTATTTAGATTAGTTATAAATGTACAGGAAAAGAGAACATCTTCCCTGTATAAAATAATCACGCATAATTATATCCATAATTCAAGTTTGTGACAGATCCCATCTCCTCGCCCTGTTGTCCTCTGTGTTTGGACTGGCTTTATGGCCTTAATTCCAATGACAAAATCAACAGGACCGATTCAGTAAGAGGCAGTTGAAACCTGCGACAAGGAGAAATGGCATCAGGGAAGTGGTGCATAATTTAGCAAAGGATTCCAACCTGAAATTCTTCAATCATTCTTCTTATCTGTGAGCTGTAGTTGAAGCAGACGCGACTGTCATGAAATATTAAGTGTCATTCTCGTACGGTAAAAGAAGTGTTTCTTCTGGCTCTGCAGACATTGTATGTGTAATCTTTGCCATATGCTGTTTGTTTTATGTTGAAAATCTGCATGATATTGACCTAAGTGATACCACATATTCTCTGTGCACTCTGCTTTACTCAATTACCAGGTTGCGTCATTAAAGCAGATATCACAGGGCCTTTTGTTTCTTCCATCTTAAAAGGCTGCAGAAGGTGAAAGTCAAATTGACATCAGTTTTTGTGTTTCTCTTTTTGTATTTTTCCAGGCATCTTAACAATGAGCACGCCCTGGATGACAGGAGCACGGCCCAGTGTCGGGTGCAAATGCAGGTCGTACAACAGCTGGAGCTGCAGGTATTGTCTCGTCGTTTGTTTTGGCCCAAATATTTATGTGTCGTCTTCTCCTGACACTTCCTCAGCGTCTGCCGAACCCCTCCCTCTCCGTCTGATATCAGCCATGGGGGTCACCCACACATTGGGTGGGGGTGGGGTGGTGGGTGCTGAATGAAAATTTTTTATACATTTGCAAGTAACCAGTCATTAAAAATGTGTTATGTATGCAGCCGGGGAAAGATATATGAAGGACCCGGGGCTAAGTAGAGGAGATAATTACATTTTGAATTTTACTGGGTTTTAAAGTTATTTATGACTTTTAACTATTTGGCACCAACAATAAAACACTCAGTGAAATGACTCGGCAGAGTGAGTTAAAGGAACAGAAAGGTTATTGTAGCCCACTACAGAAAACTGTTGATGCAGTAATCAGTAGTTTTATTACTTTGTCTGTTATGATTAGTCTTGAATGGTCTTTTTTCATCTGAGAAAATAAAAATATGAATGTCTGCATTAAGAATGCACTTATGGAAAAAGGTTCACTGTCATTCCATTAGAGAGGCTTTATAACGGCCACTGAGTCACATGTGTGTCTGTGTGTGACGGTGCTGGGTTAAATGGTGAACACGACCACTTTGCTAATGTAAGGCTGAACTTATTTATTAGTATTACAGGGGAAATAAAAACCAACCATTCCATTAAACTCTGTTTTTATTAATTAGTGGCTGCTACTGTTGCAAAGCAAATACAAGAAAGATCAAATGTAATGTGTTCCACATTTCATGCAATATTCACTTGTGGTTTCACATATTAGCCAGATAATTCCCCTGAAAAAATTACTGATAATGACTATAAAACAGTTGTGGTTTACAGAATGTTAATCTTAAACAGCGAGCGTAGAGTTTCTCAAACATTACACCACACCAACGTCCTGTTATTTCTGCTCGGGTGCTGTATTATCCAGGGGGACGGAGCGAAGGTTTATCAGAGACAGACTTCCTCTGCATGCAGCCTATCACCATAATTTAAGCTGGCAGCTAACACGGCGCAGAGTTTCAGACAGGTAGAAAGGGTCTGGGCTTGTTATTGGCAATGAGACTCCGCATACTTTAACCTTCAATTGGAGACAGTAGTTAGATAGATCCAAAAGCATTTTAGAAACAAATAATTTGACGGTCCCAAGAGCAAGAAGATCGATTTGTTCAAACACACTCACTGAGAAAGATTCATCACTGCAAAGGGATGTATGGAATGAATTAAGTGTAAAAAAAAATTTGAATTCATTAAAAACTTAACATGTTCTCTTTCCTCATTACAGCTATCGAAAGACAAAGAGCGTCTGCAAGCGATGATGACGCACCTTCATGTCAAGTCCACGGAGCCCAAAGCCACCCCACAGCCGGTGAGCAGCAACCCTGTCATACATCTCTCTCTCTCCCTCCCCCATCCTTTTGTTTGTCTTAATTGGCACACATGTATTCATTAATCCCTTCCTCCATCTTCTTATTTATCTGCTAAATAAAAACAGCTGTTCTCTGGAGGGAGGCAGTAAATATTGTTTGGACCGCATCTGCTGACATCCCAGATTCAATTTGGTGTCTGTGATGAACTGAATGCGCACTGTGTAACAGCCCCCTCGTCAGCCTCAGAGAACAAGAGTCTGAGAGATGAGAGAGCATTGGAAAATATAAATAATAATATTAGATAGCAGGTATTATATTTTGTGATGTAATATAATGTTTTACATTTTGTAGTGATTTTAATAACAATGTGTGTCCCTGTCAGACATTATGGAAGACTGACTGATATGTAGACAGAAACTGCTTACTGAGATTTAATCTTAATTTTGTATAACAGATGCTTCCCAGGAGACATTTCAATCCTGTAAAAGTTGTTAGGAATTAAATCAGCTCTCCTTCAGAAGGAGCTATTCTAAGGGTCAAGGTAAAAAAACAGCAGTTTTAACTATTTAAATACATATATATATATATATATATATACATACACGTTTGGCATTAAAGTTAAGACTAGAATTTATGATTGCACAGTAAACATTTTGGGCAAAGGAACAAATGTAATTAAAAAAAAAAGATTATATCTTGCAGGCTGTATTCTGGTGATTCACTGGAATATACTTGAAGTGAACAACTAAAATTTTTAATAAATGTAACAGCAAATCAATTTATTATCTTTATGACATATTCCCAGCATCATGCTTATCACTCTTAATATATACTGTGCCATAAAGCTCACTGCTTAATCCCTTTCCTATAGGAGCAAGGGCTTAACATATGGCATTTAAGTGTCTGCGCTATTTTGTCATGTTTAAGAAGGGGCCTCTGCACCATATTTCATTCTGTGTGACAGTTCATTCTCAGAGCCAAATGTGTAAAGATCATTTTACTGAAGGGAGTGAATCTGAAATCACGCACATGCACAATACACTGCTCACACAGGAGTCCTGTCTCTGAACACTGTGCAGCTTGGATCATTTATTTACACCAGAGAGGCGGCTATTGACGTGCGGAGGCTGCGTGTGCGCTCTACACAGCGCAGTCAACATAAAGCGCCTGGAGATGTCGAGTGACAATAGGCTGTCTGTAAAAGCTGCGCCTGTGTCACACACACTGATGGTGTAGATTAGAGTGCAAAACGAGGGCTCTGACACAGGGACATTTGTATATGAAAAGTGGTAGGGGCAGCAGATAGCATCTTGAGTTCGCTACCTCTCCTCTCTCCCCGGGGCCTGTGAGAATGGCTGTGTCAGAGCACAGCATTAGCACTCTCAAGGGGGCAAGCTGGGATTTTTATTCAAATAAATAGACTCCCTTTTCTCCAGCACCGCTTTGCCTGCTGGGAGCTGCTATGAAATGATAAATATGTCTGGCTTCAGCTGGGTGAGTGGTGGACTTGTACAGGTCAAGCCAACAGCCCCAAAACGGCTTCAGTGAGATTGTAGCACTGGAGGTGGCCACCAAAAAAACCCTCTTCTGAGTCGCTGCAGAAAGAAAGTGCTCTCTGCTCTGACAGGAAGGAGAAGAAACAACTGTGTTCCTGCAGTAATTGCTAGCTCTGCTTCTCTGCTGTTGCATATAATAAAGGCATGTATAAGTAGCCAGCTGTCAAAGCAAAGGAGCTCAAACGAATTTGCTGGTTTACATTTAGTTATAATTAAAGACAAACAAACTGATACTGTGCATGCCCAGCGTCAAATGAATAGGATTCATTTTATTCTTCTGAGGTGGATGGGGGCAGTGGGTGGAGATCAAAACAAAAGGTGCCACATTAGCAGTGCGTGTCTGTGTGTGTGTGGCTGTTTGTATTTGCCTGTGTGTGTGTGGGTGGGTGTCTGCGCTCGGTGTCACTAAGCATTCTTGTCAGAAATCTGACCTTTTACGCCATACATAATTAAGGAGGGACTTTTTGTTTATTTTCTTTAGCAGCTTGCCGAGTCAAAGCCAGTATAATTAGATCACCAATTACCATTTAATTAATTTCAGTCTGAAGTCTCATTTTGTCTAGGCACTGGAGTGAGCCCAAATGGTGAGGCAGACAAAGGCAAGGCTATTACCAGCCTGTCTGGCCTATTGTTGAAGCCTCTCTGTGTTTATGGCCAGGGAATATGGATGAAACATGAAACAAAGCCTGCTAATCCACAGGAAGAGAAGTCAACACCGCAGCCCCATTCTATTGATAGCATTGTGTCAGAAACACGCAAAACCAAAGTGTGATTTATTTTGCTCGTGATTTAGAATAACACGTCTTCGGCTGCTGTTGGTGAGGATGTAGTTTGCGTTTGTGCATCCCAGCAATAATCCAAATTATTTGGGCAGACGGTGCCAAAAAGGCAGAGTTCATCCTCCAAAACATAAACAGACATTGTGAGGACTTGAACACACGTCTGTTTAAAAAGGGAGAGTCAGAAAACACAAATGTCACGATCATTATGAGGGAAACGTCTATTTTTATTAAATAAAAATAGACGTTTAAAATTAACTGAAAGAAAAATATAGTAATGACAGTGCCATGTCAATTCTAGGGATTTTCGGTCCTATGTTGCTGATATCTCTGTAAGACCTGTTGGTGATTAGTGTTAATAATGTGATTAGTAATGAATGGGTTCTGCATTTTTTATGTAGAGTCAGATGTTAAAAAACGACCATCACCTCCCCACCATCATCAGCAGAAATTAGACATCTGATCCCTCGTAATCAACACTTGATGTCAAAGATGAGTGAGAGTTACACTGTCCTCCCTCTCTCCCCTTTTCAGTGTTCTTGTTTAATTTGAAAACTGCCTTCCTTCGGCAAATTAGCAATTAGAACAATTTTGCGGGAATATGTATATGTGTCATTAGTTTTCCTGCCAATTAATAGCTGGAGCAGGGGGTCAGGCGAGAATTTTCCACTTGACTGCTGCTTCAGTACAGAGGCTTGGCACTTGGCTCCGAGCCGCCACAGCTGCTGGAAGCCATGCTGTACCTTTGGAGCACTTGCCATAATTAGTTTACCTTGTAGCCATTATTACTTAAATCCCTCCTTCTCCTCAGTCCGCCCATCCCATCCTCACACGCAGGCCTTCGTGGTAAAACCAAATGTTCTCTACATAGGGCTGTCCATGGAAATACTACGAGGCCATCTTTACCATGGCCGCTGTGGCCCTGACGATGGAGGTCAATCAGATACAGTAGTTAATCATCAGATCACCTCTGTAAACAGCTACTAATTAGACTCCTCATTATAAAATTTCAGCTTGTAATTAGCCCAGATTGGCGTCTTCTTCTGGCTGCCTTATTAGCAGGGCTGCTCAGGGGTAGGTGAGAATATCACTGTCATTTTTCAGTGCGGTTTGGGTCTCCCCGTCTTCCCTTTGCCACTCAGCCCTCACTGGTTAACGTGCTGCAGAGCCACAGTGGGAGGACGGGGTGGAAGGGGTGTTGTCCAAACGGGACAAAAGATTAAACAAAGGCGGCGAAACGGAAAGCTGGGAGCGGGCCTGACGTGGCAGCAAGGGAGAGGGAGGGAGGAGAGAGCTGAGTGTGGAGAATGGAGGAGGTGGAGAGTGAAAGTGGGGCTCCCGGGTTGTTTTCCAAACACTGAGCAAACATTCATGGATCATCTCAGGTCCTGCCTGCAATTAGAGAGGAGATGTGCATAGTCAATGAGCTGTCTGAGACATGGGAGTAATTAGAGGACTAACTGAGCTGCTGTCTGTCTGTGTTCCTCTGTTTGTTTGGTCTCACTTCCTCTCCTCAGCTCAACCTTGTGTCCAGCATCACGTTGTCCAAGTCGGCCCCTGAGGCCTCCCCCCCTCTGAGCCTGCCCCAGACCCCGACCACACCCACAACACCCCTCACACCCCTGTCCCAGACCCACTCTGTCATCACAGCCAACAGCCTCCACAGCATGGGCCCCATGCGACGGCGCTACTCAGAAAAGTACAACATGCCCATCTCTCCAGGTACTGTGGGATGTACACACCTAGTCACATGTACAAATACACACACGGAACAGCACACTCATCAGTCCTGCTTCATAATCCTATAACCACAAATGCTGCAAGTGTACACACACACACACAGTCATGAACTGTTGCTATAATCTGTGTTTATCAGCTTCTCATTGGACGTTTCTGTTGACACAGTTTGTGTTTGTTCCTTTTACACAGATATCATTCAGAACAAAGAGTTTTACATGAACGCAGAAGTTAGACCGCCGTTCACGTACGCCTCGCTAATAAGACAGGTAAGAACTTAGCTTGAGCTTTTAATCTGTATAATTTATAAGGTAAGAACATTTAACATCCTGCAGCCTGCAGAAATACAGCAGCTGAAGGTCACAAATTGCTTCTGTTTAACTTATTTCTCTGGTCGCTTCTTCTTACACTTTGAACACAATTTAAAGAGAGGAGATGATTAACCATCTTCAAATGAGTGAAAGAATACATGCGGGATTCAAAAAAACACCCAGATACGACAATTGCATTCGATTAAGCGTTTCAGTGTCAGTGATTATCACCAAATTCATTTCACACAACAGTAGGGATGAACCTGTTTTAAGATGGCCAGTCAATTATCGCTCGGCCACAGTAATCTGGCATCTCAGGAATTAATCTGAGCGGGCCATAATTGCTGCCTTGTAATCTGCCCAGAAATGTTTTCTGCTTGCCCTTCATTTACACTCACAAAAAGAAAAATATATTTAAATCTGCCGTTTGGACTAAAAAGTTCAGAAGACTCAGACTTAGAAACAGAGAGACAGAGGAGACAGTTTTCTCTGCTGTTGTCTGTGTTTTTCCTCAAGAGAACAAACAAACCTGCACGCTTCTCCTGAATTATTGATCATTTTGTGATGGGAGCAAAATTGTAAATGTTTGTTTCTGTCACTGTTCCTCATCCAGGCAATTCTCGAGTCTCCAGAAAAGCAGCTAACACTAAACGAAATCTACAACTGGTTCACACGAATGTTTGCATATTTTAGACGCAACGCAGCAACGTGGAAGGTAATCCTTGCTTTTCCCTTTTCTTTTTCAAACCTAACCCAGAGAAGGAGACATTGTGTCGATGTTAGAGAGAATTAAATAATAGCCTGCTGTAATACCTTCAGAAACAAATACATAACAATCCCCTGTTATCCTCTCCAAATGAACCGCCCTTTAAACAAACATATGGAGCACATTGAAACACCAAGGAGAGCAATATGTACATTCTTGCACAAAAAAAAGAAAGAGAGAAGAAAATGAAAGAAAAAACAAACTGCCTGTGAAACGTGGGGATGTTCTGGTGGTGGGTGGCATTAGTTAAACATTGCAGTGCTCTGCCAGTGACTCCTGGCTGAGTCCCTGACACTTCACATGAGAACACTCTGTTTTCTATCAGACCACAAACACACGCACACACACACACACACACACACACACACACACACACACACACACACACACACACTTACAGTATAACAAAACTAATACAAACATACATAAGGGGATGATATATGTAGGCCTACTTTCTACTTTGCCAAATTGGATTTGGATCTCAATGCTGAATTGAATTTTTAAAATATAAAAGTTTCTCACATAAGGAAGGGAAATGCCAACTCAACCAGAACGTTTTTTGGGTTAAATATTGAGAATTGAATGTTAAGTTTCAGCATCTTACTCTGTCAATTTTTACTGAGTGATCAGAAAAGGCAGCTTTGTGAATAATAAATGTCAGTAAATATATTGCCATGGAGACCAAGAAATATTTATGTGTTGTTAAAGTCATTTGAAACGCAAGGATCATTTACTGCCAATAGCATTCTGTTTTATTTGTTTTAAATTCAGGTTTCTTCCAGTGGCTGTTTGAAATTTTAGATTTTTTTTTATCCCATGCAGGCATGAATACTGTTCTGATAGCAACCTTTTTTCTCTTTCTTTCTTCACACCAACTGAAGAATGCAGTCCGGCATAATCTTAGTCTTCACAAGTGTTTTGTGCGAGTAGAAAACGTAAAAGGGGCTGTGTGGACAGTCGACGAAATAGAGTTCCAAAAGAGACGGCCTCAAAAGATCAGTGGGTAGGTTCAGTCTCATCTGTCTCACCACTGACTGATGGGAAGAGGCTGCTGCTGCTCCATCTCATTGTCTGTTTGCCGTAACGTCCAATGTCCCTGCTTGCTTTGGGTGACTCCCCTTCATGCTTTTCAGAAGCCTTTTGGTGATGGCTCATAACCCACAATGGCTTATTTTCATTTTGATCCTCACGCTCTCCCCTCCTCCCCGTGTCGTCTGTCTGTTTGTCCGTGTGTGTGCGTCCTCTGTCTGTCCTGTCGATCACTGCATCTGCATCCGGCTCCCCTGGCTCCCCCCTTCCCTGCTGCTGGTTTGCTTTCCCAGGGTGCCATTCGCACCAACCTATCCCTGCATAAGTGCTTTGTGAGAGTAGAGGATGAGTTTGGGTCCTTTTGGACCGTTGATGATGAGGAGTTTAAGCACGGCCGGCACATACAGCGAGGCCGCCCTCGGAAATACACCGCTGATGAGAACTTTGATGAGCTGCTCGTACAGTAAGCACTTCCGCCTCCAAACTCCAGAGGCCCCCCACCCCACCTGCATGCCCACCCCCATCCACTGTGTTGTCATTATGCTTTTTGTGTTCAGCTTGCCATCCATCATGCTTTCATAAGATGTACTTCTTCCCATGCAATGTAAAATGGTGATAGTTGTGTGATGTCGTCAAGTTACTGAGCACCTCACAACTATGGCTTTAATATTTACAACAGTAAATGTTGTTAGTTCTTATACAAAGTGCATTGATTTCGTCTTATGTAATAAGATACTGTAGCTGAGCAATGCATGCTGGGTAAGACACAAGTCTGTGGCTGTAATTTGATTGCATCTCTTTGCAGAAGTCCAGCCTTAGTGAAGAACATTCAGACCAGCCTGGGCTATGGTCCGACCCTCTCTGCTGCCTTCCAGGTAAAAATCTAATGTGAATTCATCCTCAGTCAGAACCTAAAAAAAAAAAAGTAAATGTAAATCTCTCGTCTTATGTGCCCAGTGTCCCAGTCTTTGTTTTGAGTGAATGTACTGGTTTGAGAAGAGTGATGGGCGACTGAGGAAGTGCTGACAGCTCTCTTCCTTTTCACATTTAATGCTTCGGGCTTTGCTTTTCAGGCTTCAATGGCAGAAAACAACATACCTCTATACACTACTGCTTCCATTGGAAGTCCTACCCTCAACTCCTTGGCCAATGCCATCCGCGAGGAGATGAATGGAGCGATGGACCATGGAAACAGCAACGGCAGTGACAGCAGCCCAGGACGCTCGCCCCTGCCAGCTATGTGAGTGGTACACACTCTCTCTATCACCAACACAGAAAAGAGAATAAAAGAGAACGAGTTTCAACTTCACTGAGACATAACACTCTAAATAGAAGTTGACAGAAAATCTTTTCAGTGCCCACCCAAAAGGCACTAAAATTACCTAATACATGGCATCAGATGAAAGAGAAACAATGCCGGAGAGCACAATAAATAAATTGACGAGGGATGATATTGGAGTGGTGTGTGGGGTCATGGCCAGAACTGTGGCTGGCCTCCGTGCAGAAAAGGAAACTCCACCTCTTCGAAGCTTCCATCACCAGTCAGGAGCCCCTCTGTTATTCTAACAGCGAGTTTATGAACTCTCCTTTATGTGTCCTGCTGTCTGTCTCAGTCTCGCCATAATCAACATTCCAATTTGTTAAAATATTTATAAAATGCCAGAACGCAGAGCGACGGAGCTGTTGGCTCCGACGCGGTGCAACATGAGCCGCAACACATTCAGAAACGCCTCTGAGCCGCTGAAAGAAAAGCAACACAAAAGCATAATTAGTCTGGAGGACATCATCCAAGATTCTCATGTCGGAAAGTTGCGGTCGGCCTGGAAACCGCAGCTCCCCGTTCACTTGTTGTATAGGAGTGTCTGCTAAGTTGTTTGAAGCCTAAAATAATACAGCACACGCTGCATCGTTTCCAGATGTGGGGGCAGACCACCGATGTGTAGACTCGGGGATGGCCTCCTGAAAAACGTCTGAGCTTGGGGGAAATTCTGCCTGAAAACAGAAAAAGGTGCAGTAATGAGCTCCTGGCCAAATGGAGGAAAAGTGCCATCCCTAATCACTGTGAACATAGCTCTGAGCGTGGCTGTGGAACAGGAAAGGCAGAGACAGGATGGGTGTGCTGGCCTAAAGGCAGCCTGCTTTCCCTCTGCCCCTCTGCTTCTATCTTTAGGCTGATAGAGCTCACCAACTCTTTCTCCATAATTATGTCTATAAGCTTTACGCAAGTACAAAATGAGTTCAAACTGTTTTCTTTTGCTTTTTTAAAGAACTTTATTCTCTTATTAACAAAACATACCCGCTGTTTCACGCCCTCGGATTGAGCGTTGAGTGTTACATACAGTAGCACCGTCTCTGGAAGTCTCCTCACACATCCCTCTTCTTCTTCTGTGGTGCTTTGGCTCGTACGAGTTCAACACCACTGTGTTAACTGAGGAACATGTGTTGTCCACATGTGCCTTTGCGCTGCTGGTCGACAGGACGCAGCTTTTTAACGCTGCGAAGAAAAATCCAGAGTCCCAAACCAGAGAGTCAGGTATCCAGAGAAGGCTAATTATGAGCAAAGTGTAGAATCAGCATGCAGTTCAATAGCATAATAATAACAATTTCATGTCTGCCCTGCAGCCACAGAGTGAGACCTGAGGCTACAGCACTTGTGGAGTTACTTTGATGTGAAAATGATAGAAAAGCTGACTTTACCTTTCCCCCATTTTTTATAATTTACGCCACAATATGTCAGCTCATTAGCATACAAGCTTCTCCATCACAACAGTTGCAAATTACATGAGACGTCCCGGCGTGAATAAATCAAATGTGGGCTTTGGTGATGAAGAACGTGCCAGTTTGCCCTTGTTGTTGTAGTAAATGAGCCCAGTGCCTCATCCTGACACCACTCTACCTCTGATACGGCAGCCTGGCACCGCAGGTTAGAGCGGCGAGTCCCCTGCAGCTGCTCGTAATGTTTTTTTTTCCCTCTCCTCTCCAACACAGTCAGGGCTCCTCTCCCCGTATGCTTTATTCCTGCTCTGTTTCTGTAATGAGAAATTTGGCAGATCTCATCTCTTTAGTGGCTCTTTTGCCCAGGCTGTAAGCTGGGAGGGGAGGGGGGCTCATGTTTTTGCCTTGTTTACAAGTGACAGCGTTATTATTCTCATAAGGGCTCTGTTTCTTATCACAGTGTTGTGCAGAGTGCGCCGTCGCCGCTCTCCTCGCGCGCCTCTCCTGCCAGCGCTTTTCTTCCCTTATTGACACTTGCTTGAAAATTCGCATTAATTCTAGAGTTTAAAGCATGTATGGCGGTGTCTGGTCGCTGTGTTTGCTTGAAGTTGATTAATGATAGAAGCCGGCTCGGGGTCGTCCTCTGGAGACCCGCCTCGCAGGTTGTGCATGTTAACGAGCAGGAAGGGGAACACACAGCGCGCCACTGATCCACAGCCACCAGGAGGCTGACAACGGCAGCCCACTCGCTCTGCAGAGTCCATTCTCTTCTCTCCTCGTCTCACGTTGTTAATCTTCCTCATTTATCAATTCTAAGTGAATACCCTGTTGTCGGTTGCCATGAAAATAAAAAGCCTGCAGCTTTGCCAGGATTGGAATACCTCAAAAGAAAGCTGAAATTATCATCTGCACCGCCGAGGCCCCCACTCACAGTCTCATCGTAGCCAGACATTTGTTTTTGTTCCCCTGTTTCCTTCTTTATAAACAGAATCAGCCCAGGTCTGAATCACTTTGTGCCGGCGTGTGTTATAAAAAATGGGTATGTAACAAAGTTAAGTTGAACTGGAGCTACATGTCTATTTTCTTCTCCTCCGCCAGGCATCACATCAGCATTAAAGAGGAACCACTGGACCCCGAAGACCACGAAGGGCCCCTCTCCCTGGTAACGACCGCCAATCACAGTCCGGATTTCGATCACCACAGAGATTATGACGACGACCAGGGCCACGATGACATGCTGTAAGGCTTTGCGCAGCCCCCTCCCCTCCCCAGCCTCAGAGGCCGAGGCAGTCTGGGTCATCTGGGAGACAGAAGCGCTCCGCAGATAACAAACACTGAACTGCAGTCTCAGCCACTGATGACAGCTCTCAAATGTCTCCAAGTCGACTTTTTAGTGCCATTACAATACATAGCAAAAACACAGAATACAGCCCACATGAGGCGTCTTTTTTCTGATTTCTTTCTACTTTTGATTTAAGTAAAGCTTAAAAAAAGAAAACCTTCATTTCTACCCATGTGTCGGATGGACTTGTTTGGTACGGGGGAGGTGACGCGTTCGCGCACCGACTCTGGGAGACCCTTGCCGTGCAGCCAGGACACGCTGTGCTCCGCGGACTGCGAGAGGGGTTGCGTCTCGCCCCCACCTACCCCCCATCTCTCTCCTTCTCTCCCTCGGTCAGACACACACATCTAACCACAAACTGAGGAGAGAGAGACAGACAATGACTGACGTTTAATTTACACAGTGTGCGTGAGTGCGTAGATGTGTGTGAGGGAGAGCGGACTTCTGTTCATTGTCACTGCCTTCAACACTTCTCATTGGTTTGATTCCATCTGGGGTGGGAGGGATGTTGTTTCTATTTGGGTGTATTTTTGTGTTGGGGGTGAGAGGTTATAAAATATCAACGTTATGTGTTTTTTTTTCCCCATCATTCAATGCTGTTATTGATGTTGCATCTTTATTTTTTTTGTTCTTGTTTCTGTAAACTGATCAGACCTCATGCCCATGCTGTGGAGATTCTGTGTGGTCCGCACTTGATGATGAATGTTTATGATTTCTTTTTCACCTTGTTCTTTTTTAAACACACACACATGAAGCAGAATGTCTGATACCGAGCAGTATTTTTCTGTCATTTATTCCAAAAATCATCATGGAAATGAAAAAAAAAAAGTCACCGCTCTGACATGTAGCCCACCCCTCACCCTCTCTTCCTCCTCCTCATGAAGTCCATTGGCGATGCACTACTCATAATGAAGGCTCTCTCCACGCATCAATGAAGCTTAATTTAAGATGCGAATGAATGACAGAGAAATCATGCAGGTTATGGTTTATCCTTATGAAATTATACTTTAAAACAGCCCTCGCCACAGAGCATGCTTAGCTGCAACACAATTTCTGATCACTTACAAGCTCCAGGGTCTTTTTTTTTTTATATGCAAAATGAAAATGTCAGGTGTGCACCTGCGAGATAAAAATTTCGACCAATTAATTGTGATTTCAGAACACAACTGTCATTGTTAATCAAACTGTGTCTGGCTTTTTCCACTCTGTAATTTCATCCAGAGCTTGAAGATAAATTCCCACGTAGTTTTATTTTGTATCACGCGCTTTGGTCTGATCATTTTTAAGTTCTAGTGATTGTTAATGTAATTGCACACGCGACAAAATGCTCCTCTCTCTTTCTTCTTCAAGGGAACAAAGTCCCAGAGACTCGCAATAAGACCGAAAACGTTGCACATTCCAGCATTTGACAGCCACCGTGACAGGGCCCGGACGTACAGTACACGCCGTGTTAGAGAATGTGGATACCTCGACGTTCAGTGTCACCCAAAAAAAAAGCCAATGAGTTCTAGTCCACGTTGAACTGGTGGTTTTATGATGCAGCAGCAAAAATTCCAGTTTTGATAGAGTCAAATTTTAAAGAGACCATGAATTTCAAGACTGCAAGCAACCACTTTTAATTTTTTTTATTTATTATTAGTATTATTATTAATATGTTTTATTTGGCTTTTTTTTTTTGTTCATGTGTTTTGATATCTTGTTCTGTGACTACCAAAGATAAACTACAAAGTCAATGTTGTGTGTTCCATGCAATAGCAGATAGGCCAAATATGTCCCCTCCATTCTCTCCCACTGGCCGACCTCAGCGGCTGTGGTCGAGCCGGTGGCAGACTGAATCGAGGGCCAAGCTCCTCAAACTCATTCACTTTTATTAAAAAAGGACAAAATAGAACCAAAGGGGGGGGCGTCCCGGACAGGACAAGCTGCGCTAATGTTTGGCAGTGACCAAATCTGAACGGGAGGCGCTGACAGTCTGACTACATGATGATGACCAAATTAGGGAAACTTTTATTGTCTTTGGGCCAGTGAGTGGAAAAAGGGAGCTTTTTGGTCAGGAACAGATTTGTGCGCAACATAAAGGGTATAAACTGTAGATAACGTTAAAAAAAATTCTGGTAAATGGGAAAAGCTTTGCAGAGAACAATGTGAAATGGATTCTATACTTCAACTGGACCACACGATGATTTGTTGTTTCTCTTCTTTTTATTTCTTTCCATGTTTGTATCCTTTGAAATGATTGTATGCCACTTTTTAGGGGTTTTAGTGTCTTTATGAGGGAAGACTTTATGATTGTGTTTAGTTTCTGTCAACTTATTACTTTTTATATTAAAAAACACTCCTGTCAACTAATAAGCTGGGTACAAGGTACTTTATGGCAGTTATTGTTATCTTTTTTTTTCTTTTCTGTTCACCGCTCATTAACTAAAAAGGAAAAAAGGGGCAATCTGTGGTTTCCAGAAGATGTATTTAATATCCAGGCAGCTGTGGGATGGGTCAGTCACAGCCAGGCTCGGATCGTGAGAACGGGGGCCGAGCTCATCCACAACCCCCCCCCAGTCATCACGCAGGCTGGTTTGTTTGATATTCAGAGAGGAAGACCAGCGCTGGTAGATTAGAACATTCTCAGCATGTGTAGCCTGACATTACTAAAGATAACAGCATGAGAAAAAGCCGTTAGTACGCATACCTCATTTCAAACCTATAGGGAATGATTCAATTAAACGAGAGAGAGAAAAATAAATAGAAATAAACAAACATTTCACTCAGTTGCACTTAGTTGTATGTCTTGCATGTGTAGTCTGATACTGTAGAAAGAAAAAAAAGAGTAAAAGAAAAAAAAAATGAAATTAGAGCTTGTTTAGCTTAAAAGGTTTCATCCTTTTTTTGCCAAACCAATTCAAACCTCAGGCCTTTTGTTGGTGGAAATATCAGCCAGCTGTGTGTGGCACATTCATCCTGTCTGTCCTCTGATGGGTTGTTTTAAGGGCGTTCCAATATTAGGTTGTACATACATGTCACTGTAGCCTTTGTCTTCTCCTCTCCTGTCCTTTCCTCTCTTTTTCTCTCTCTCCCTCTTTTCTTTTGTTTAAGATCAAGAAATACATTTGTGTTATGATGTTTGCTTTATCGCCACTGCTTTGTATTAACTATGAAAAAGCTATGAGAAAAAAAACTGCTGTATGTATTGGAATAGCAAACTGTGCTGCAAATGTATTTTACTTAGTAATCCTTGCTTTAAAAAAAAAAAAAAGAAAGAAAATTTCAAAAAAAAATCTTCATCCTTGCAGACATGTGGGTGAGCTGGGCAGGGGCAGGCCGGGGGGGAGATTATCCCCCATTTTGGATTTTAAACTGTAATATAAAAAACAGACTTTTCTCTGTTATCATTGACAGAAGCATTTTGTACAGAATTTTTCCCCCCTTTGTGTTAAAGCTGTTTTTGATACTTCCTTTTGATGGTCCAACCACTGCCTTCTGTGGCTCTATGTGAAAGGTTACTGCTCTGAGAAAAAAAGGGCACACAGGTATATTTCCTCTACGAGACGGTGGTATGTTGCATGACTAATCCCAGGGTCACAGAGATGTTGGGTGGGTGGGTAATGTTTTAAGTGGTCAGTAATAATATAAGGGTGTATCAATCTAATGATATTTTATATGAAATTAATAGGAAACAGAAGAAAAATATGCAGTGCCAAGATGTAAAGAATATTGTTAAATGCTTTTTTTTTTGGTTTCCTTTTCTTTGTTGTTTGAGATATTTCATGTCGCTCATTCACGTGTTCTCCTCATCATCTGACTCTTCATCCAGGTAAAAGACACATTTTTATATATATATATATATATAAAATATATATATATATATATACGTTTTTGTTAAATGAGCAAGCACAGCGGGCAGGTCAGAGGTGGACGCTCTCGAGTCTAACGTCCTGCAAACTGAGGCCGTGTGGCGTCACACCCCCCCCCCCGACATCACACGTTGGCACCCGAGCTAAAAAACGCCATTGTCTCAACCATCAGCGACCATCCAGGCTGCTGTCACCCCCCCCCCTTCCTTCTATCACATCACACTCTTTATTTCTCCACATGGAGGGGGTGGTAGGGAGAGATGGGGGGGTGGGGGGAGCAGCCGAGGAGCTGTCACGGTGCTCTCATCCTGCAGCAGCAGCAGCTTGTCTTTCTTTCTTTTTCTTTCTTTCTTTTTCTTCTTTGAAGATGTACTCTGTAGTTTCTGTTTTTTATAGAGAAATATTATTGCTCATCGTTTCCATCAGTGTGTAACCTCCTCATCATTCCTCGTGTGTCTGATGCAGACCACTCTGTTGTAGTCACTGGCGATGACTGACGTGAGCATTCTAAACATGCAATAAAATGCTGGTTGTTCAGACGATTTCCTCCGGCCTCTCCTTGTTATCTGTTGGGTCTGGTGTGGCAACACAGAGCTGCACGATTTCTTTATTTTTGAACATGTGATCACACTCCAGTGTTGACAGAAGAACACTTAAATTAGGTAGTTATCTCAAGCTGAAATTGAAATGGGAAAATTTGTAGCTTTCATAAGGTCTTAATAGCAAATGCAGCTTTAATTTGTTTTGCTGTCATCAACTTTAAAAGCATCAAATCATGTAAAGAACAAATTATACAAAATAATATACCCTGATATATTTATATTGCTTTAGTTTTGCAGTTCTGTCCTCATTCTCTCCACCTGCAGACCAGTTGAACCTGTGTTTGTCATCTGCTGCAGGACCCTCGTCTCGGCCTCTGCATTAAATTATATCGTAATTAAAAAGAGACAGTTAAACTGTCTTTTCCTAACAGCAATTTAGGTAACTGCATTTGATAAGCTATAAATTGTAACAGCATTAAAAATTCCAGAAATAATAGCGATATGGATTTGGTGACGGGAGCTAATGCTGATGACCAGGACTCAGGGTTTTTTACGACAGAGGCGCGGGTCATGTTGGCCACTAAACAGGAGACAAAGATCAAGTCTAAGCACTTTTAATCTTGTGAAACAAGCAATTACAAATAGTTGCATTGATTTGTTAAAAAGCTTTAGGCGACATAAATCGTTTCTTGCTGAGCTTATTGCTGGAAAACATAAATGTCAAGTGTATTATTAATTAAGGCCTTTGAAAGATAAGATTTAATGGAAACAATATAAAATCACAAGCAATCTCTCTGTGGGCAGTATTTCACCGGACGCTCGGGCTCCGTGTGGATCCGTGTTGTTTGTGACACTGATCACAAACCAGATCGGAAGACAGCGAGTCAGAGGGAACCAGTGGAAAGTGTTTGTGTTTGAAAAAAAATCAGCCATTAACAGAAGCATTCACATAAATTAATTGCACAGTAACTTAGAGAGACGAAGTAACATATGATATTATTATGGTCCATAAAGGTGGATGAAATATTATGGGAGCAGTGTAGATATATTGACACAGAGACATGATCGGCCAATGCTGGCCCCCCACACATTAATCTGAATGTCTCTGTCGGCAACACGCCACACTGACATGACCAAACTCCAACACGCACATTCTCGTCTTTGTGATTAATAATCATTTTCCAGAAAGAAAAGACACTTTTAAATGAAACCAGCTTGTGTTACAGTTTTTATTTTTCTAATCGCTTTGAGTGTCACTTCACATATTAATCCCTTATCATTCATGTTTTATTTCACTTACATTTACTGGCAGATAAACTTGTTTTATTTAGTTTTATCTTTCCACCTGCTGCCTTGAATAGAAGTGGGCAGCCGAGTAAAACAACAGGCAGAATCATCAATATCAATACCAATACTTTTTTTAATCATAAAAATGACTAATGAGACGTGTCATGATTTATGAGATGCATCATTTAGGCTGCCTCTGAAAACATTTTATTCATCCCAATTATCTGTCACGACGTTAATTTATCACATTGAATGAAACATGTTTAATTCTCTCAGTAAGACTCTCATAAATGTCTTTTATTTCAAAATCTAAAGATTGACGGAAGGTAATTGATCCGTAGAGCTTTAAACAGAAATGGCATTTTAAGTTACGATTGTGTTATTTGATGCTTGTGATTTGAGACGGTTCTAAAATAGATGCATGTTTTACCTCATGACGCATGAACTGAGAACTTGAACATGAACTGAATATTGTATATTGTATTTTTTACTTTTCTTTTTCTCGTGGAGCTTAAAACATTCAACATAAAATCCACAACATGTTGGAACAACAACTCAGTTAATCCACAGTCACTGTCGTTTCTTTGCTTGAACAACTTTGAAATGGGAAAAAACTGTTGTGTGTTGGTTAAAGAAAGACGTGTTGTTGAATCGTCACTTTTCGGATGACGTGAAAGTGGAGTGGGGATTTTAATATTGTTAAATCTTTATTGAGGCAATGTTGTGTAAGCATTAATATTTCTGAACTCTTGCTGTTTTTCAGTATAGCGATGTTCAAAGTCTGATCACAAAGCTGTGACTGGTTGATTAGGAGTCATCATCGAGCTCAACGACAGACCTGTTGTTATCACTGATCATATCAGAGATTTTATTTTTAATATAGGACAATATCGCTTGTACGTTGGAAGGTCTTCTTCACAATTTAAGTTAACAGCTACCAATAGATGTTAGCAGGTGTTAGCAGCGGCTAGCGGATGTTAGGGACAAAACTTAAAGGTACAGTGTGTAGAATTTAGTCACATCTAGTGGTGAAAGAGAACCTGTGGAAGCCTTCAGTTGTCATAAAAACTCAAAAGGTTTTAGTTGGTCCAGTGTGGACTAATGTAAAAAACATGGCAGCCTCCGTAGAGAGGACCCCTCCTGATGTAAATATAAAGTATTTAAATATAAAGGTAAAGAAAACTTACAATTTGTTCAATTTAGATGAAACACACCAGCGAAAACATCACTAGGATTAATTATATACATTTTTTGCCAATGGATCCCTTTCACCTAAATCTTACACACTGGACCTTTAAGCACCTTAGCATCAGCCATTGTTTTGGCTTTGTAATCAATGGTACAGGCCAAACCTGAGGGTACGCTGAGGCTAAAGGTGGCTACTGGCTTGTATGGCAGTACTGAGAAAGCCACGTGGCCCGCTCAGTAGATCAGACCTCATTACCTCTAAGTCTTTTTAAACTAAACCCTGTCCCTTTTTTGAACATAGGACAAGATGGAGAATATCCCTTAAGCGTCCTTCCACACTAATTAATTCCCACCACCAGTTGATGTTAATCGATGTTTGTGACCACTATGTCTTCAGTTGTGTAAGTTCACACATACAATAGATCCCATTATTCTGTCTTTTAATTTGTAATCCTACCCAATTAATAATCCACTATTTTTACATGGCAGGATTGGGCCTCCATTAATTTCTTAAAATTTATACAATTCAGGGAGAAAACCCCAATGAAACCAAAACTACAGTATATGGCTACAGAGCATTACAGTTGAGTTGTAAACTGGCTGAACTGACCCTTTAACCTTTAACAGATCACTGTTAACTGCCTTCTACAGTCATGTCTGTTGCTGGGTGTCACCCTTAAAGAGATGTTGCTGTTGCTCTGTCCTGTTGTACACACTCCAGGCGGCTCACAGTCGTATTATTTAGCTCGGTTCGTTTGCAGAAAACAAATGTGGATGCTCTGTGCACTTTATTCTAATTACAGCGTGCCACAGCCTCCATCCATTCACACAGGAGCTTCAGTCAAATAGTGAAAAGCTGGCAAACATCCCAGCGTTGCATCGAGGCAATTAGCTGTCCTGCAGTGTTTGTTATTCATGGTTTGATGTAAAAATTTGTTTATTAAGACGGGCTACGGGCGCTGGTGTGCAATAGACCTGCTTGTAATTAGATTCCAATTATTTGTCTGTTTCTGATATTGTAAACTGGCACTTACCAAATCAGTTAAATTGACACAGTGCACTGCTTGGTTTACCCGGTAATTAAAATGTGTTCTGTTAATTAGATGATGACCACTTTATTCCAGGGCTCTCGTGTTCGGGCTCCTCGGCGGCTCGCTGTTTGGATCATGAGTTGCCAGACGCTTCCCTAATCAGCCCTTGTTTTGTTTCAATTACCACCTGCTGTTGAAAAGGCATGCCTCGCTGCCCCCCCTCCCCCTCCACCCTCTAAACACACACACACACACATACACAACAATACCACGAGGCCGGTTTCAGCTCCAACACAACAATCAGCGGTTCACAGCTGGGCTCGCTTTCTTCTTTTTTAGAAGGCGCAGCTACGTTTCAAAGAAACTGCGAGCAATTAAAAAGGGAACTGAAGCAAGATGAAAGTACAAAGGTGCTTATCACATCAGTTAGCGAGCCTTGTGTGAGTAGCCAGTGGTAATTATGCTCATTGAGTAAATAGCGGAGATGCTCAGATGTCGCCTTCTCTTGGTAACAGGAGGTTAAGGGTGGGGCAGCTGCTGGATCCACTGATACGTTCACTAACTAAACATGTCAAACTATCTAAAGCAGGAGCTGCGTGGAGCTGAATGTAGATGAACTGCTGGTTAAAGACCTCCACTGATTATAATAACCTGAATTTCTTCTCTTTGAAACGCAGCTCATGCTCTGTGGACTTATCTTCTCCCAAATCAACAGTATCAGTTTGTTCGCCTCTCTCGTGTTGCATTCAGGGACCAAACTCAGTTTTGTGTCAAACATTCAAGTTTGTTCTTCACCTTGGTAAAACTCTATTTTAAAAAACAGGTCCACCTCAAAGTCCACTCACAGGCTCATGATCATAGCATGATCATCAAAAGAGTCAGCCATGTTGTCATGGAGATGGATCTATTGACACCAACTTCTAGCTCAGATATTGGTGTAATTTCACTGATAACACTTTTAGATTCACATGTTTTTCGGTGCCGTCAAGGAGGTTACGTTTTCGTCGAGGTTTGTTTGTTTGTTATTTAGCAGCATTGCACATAAACCACTCAACAGATTTCTAACTTGATGATGATGATGATTTGCGGGCCAGGGATGAACCCATTCAATTTTAGTACGATTCCAGATCATGGGGTGGATCCGGAAATGTATTTTCAATTTCTTAAACACGTGGCATTTTTTCACAAATTTTCCAGAGAATTATTCAAAATTCATGATTTAAAAATACAAACATTTAGAGGACTAATATCTATGAATGTGTGAAACTTGGTGCAGCTTGATTGAATCGCAGGGGGCTGTTTGAGGTTTGTGATCTATTGATTGTGTTCTAGTTTTCCAGTTGAGTTGAAGACAGTAAATACAAACTCAGACCAAACAGTGAACATTCTTTCATGAACATTAAATCAGTACTTGTGTTTGGTGTACACAAACAATTACAAACACATCAGTGAGCCACACGGCTTCATTGGGTCACTTCTTCACCATCAG